TGGGAGAAAAAAAAAACAACCAACCAAACAAGCAAAAAAACCCAAAGGAAAACCAAACTCAAACTCATGGCCCGAGTTCAATATCCCAGCAGCTGTGTGCTCTGGCCAGAGGCTCCAAATAAATGACCTCAGCTCACTGAGCACTGTGCTCATGGGAAAGCTTGCAGGATGGCTGTGAAAGAGGGATGAGGGGTCGGCACTGTGGCATAGCGGGTAAAGCCGCCACCTGCAGTGCCTGCATCCCATATGGGCGCCGGTTTGAGTCCCAGCTGCTCCACTTCTGATCCAGCTCTCTGCTATGGCCTGGGAAAGCAGTGGGAGATGGCTTAAGTTCTTGGGCCCCTGCACCCATATGGGAGACCTGGAAGAAGCTCCTGGATCTTGGCTTCGGATTGGTGCAGCTCTGGGCATTGTGGCCATCTGGGGAGTGAACCAGAGGATGGAAGACCCTCCCTGCCCCGCCTCTTTGTAACTCTTTCAAATAAAATAATCTTTAAAGAGAGAGAGATAAAATCATGCATGTACAACGAACACCAGCACCTATCCCATCTCATCCCCGGCCCAGCCTCAGCAAGCAGCGGCTGCAGGAATGAAACTCAGGACCTAATCGTCTACACTGCAGCTGACAGCCTGGGAACCTAATTGTATTCACTACTTTGCATCCACAGGAGAACATGTCCTCCCTCTAGCACAGAATGGGGACCTTCTCCAGTATGGCCCTGGGAAGTTTGTCCTTAGAAACCCTCCCACTCGTTAATGTAGTAAAGAGAAATGGGTATGACAGTTTTGCAAGCAAGCCCCTAATGACCGACATAGGTAATGTCACACAGCAGAGAAAGGACCACATGTCTCCTAAGGACAGGTGGCTGCACCTGGTGAGTAGTGTCTCTGTCTCTCTGTCCCTCTGTGTGTCATAAACACACACACACACACACACACACACGACATTCACACCTGATCTCTCCCGGCCTCTAGACCTAGTGGCAGGAGCAATAAGGGGACAGAGGAGCACATTGGTGACTCCCTGGGAAAGCAGGCAGCAAAGCACAGAGTGTGGAGCAGACAGTCCAGGTCCTTCCACCACAAACAAGAAGAACGGGAAGGGAGAAGGAGGAAGAAGAGCCAAGGGAAGAGAGGCACACAGGGAGGAAGAAGCTTTAGAGCAAAACCCTCTGGAGGAACACATCATCCCAACACAGTGCCTGGCACTGCCCTGGATCCCGGTCCAAACACGCAAGCTGCAAACACAGCAAATGAAAACACACACTTGCAAGACAGTCAAACCACCTCTAGAAGCGTCATCTGAGGGCAGTAGAGAATCCCTGAGAACATTCACCGAAATGCCTGTAGCAAAGAAGGGAAACGTCTGGCATTTGTGAGCCCTGCTCACACAGAGGTTTCCTATGTGGCCAGGAGCCTGGGGTCCCAAAATGCTCCCAATACCTAGAAGGAGGCAGGAGAGGGCAGTCACAGAGGGGTGCCCAAAGCTGGCTCATGTCTCGAGCCTCCGTGATGAGTGCAGTGCGTGACCCTTTGCCAGGGCAACGAGGAAGGTGGGACGGGAGGGTCTGGGAGCGGAGACCATCAGCTTAGACTGGAATACGTTAGACTGTATCGGATTTGGTTATTACCCTAAATGACCTTTTGGAGGTGGAGAGAGTTCCTTTTTGGAAACAGTCGTAAAGTTAAGATCCCAGCTTAATTGGGTACACTTTATTAGCTCCAGTTCATTTGATTCTGAGAATCAGCTTTATGAGGCCTCCGGTGAAGAAAGCAGCACCCCCCCCCCCCCCAAGGACACGCACGCTCCACTCCCCACTTTCCTGAATCAGATCCTCCCAGCTAATTGGAAATTCCACTGAAGCTGAAAGTGCAGAGCTGTTCCCACCGCCAGCAGCTGCTTTTCAACCCTGGGCTCCCCCAGTGAGGTCCAGTGGCACCAGTTTCCCCGCAGTGAGTGCCTGGGGAGGGGCTGCCAAGACTTTTGGCGCACACAGCTCTTCCCAAATTGTACTGACTCCTCCATGATCACTTCTGGGAAGCAGGAGGAATTCTGCCCACCACCCCCCCCCCAACATGGGGCAAAGGGGCTTTGAAAATACAGCACCATGGGCACTGGGGACTGGGCAGGAATGGCAGGCAGCGGTCAAGGAGGGGAGCCGAGGTGTGGCAATGCCAGGGCCAGGTGTCCTGGCAGAGCAGGCCTGGAGGCAGAGGTAGGGCTCCTCTGCGGTGCTACCACTCTCCCACCCTATCTCACGCTGCCCCCGCCTCCTCTCAGGTTGGCCTGCCTTGCTCTTGTCCCAGGACAGTGCCGATCTTCGCTGCCACTCCACACTCCCGCTGTTTCAGGCCCTGGCACTCTATCCCTCCCTCCTGCCATCCAACGCACTGCCTCCATGAAGGCACCCTGAGTGTTGTCCAGCTACAATGAGTCACTCAAGTCCCTGCAGGGGCCTCTGCTATCATTAGGATCTCTAGCTGCAGCAAATATCAAATGAGAGACAGAGATGACCAGGCCATCTGAGCCATGGCCTGTGCCCAGCGCCATCAGCATGGACAGAAACTTCATTCCAACTCATCTGAAAATCCAGAAGCGTCCACCTTGCTTCAACCTGAGTGCACTCAAACAGCAGGGCACTGAATATTTCCTTCAGGCAGGAACAAAGCAGATCAAATAAGCCAATCTTGTTCTCAAACAGGCACAAGGAAGAGGCACTATTTGTTTTTCTGGAGAGTGGCATTTTGCAGGCAAGGACTCCTATGACACTGGATTTCTTCAAGGTGGAGAAGAGGGGGAACCTTGGGGTCAGCGTTAGCCCTCTGTGAAAGGCACAGTGTCCATCTGTATGACAGGGGAGGGGTGCACTGGTAGAGGACCTAACAGAAAACAGGCATCATCAACTAAAACCCACTTACTTCGTCTACGGCTTGCCGTGCAGCTATTATCAAGAAGGAACACGGCCTTTCTTCCCCATCTCTGTCTCCTGATAGGATTAGAATAGCCACTCATCAGCAAAGGGCAAGGAGGTTCCTAACCACGGAGAACAGACCAGCTCCGACAGACCCAGAGGAAGCGTAACTCATGCGCCTGTGGAAACCCAGAGGAAGCAGCACAGGGGCAGCTGCTGGCCAGGTCACAACAGCCGACCTTGGCTGGCAGGCCTCCCAGGGAGACTTCCTCAGGGGACAGAAAGGGTGGGGAAATCTCAGCACCTCTGGGGATGCACTTACCTCTCTACACTTGGGGACCCCTGTTCTACGTGAAGAGTGACCTCAACACAAAGGCAAACATCACAGAGTCGTGGGGATCACCTCCCCAAGGAATGGCCAAGCTTGAGCTGTGATGACGACAGCAACAATGGAGACTATGCTTCCCACATGTACTATCTCATTTAAACCCTCATGGCCAGGGCTGGGTGAAGGTGCCACCTGCAACACCAGGATCTTGTATGAGCAACAGTTTGAGATCCTGCTGCTCCACTTCCTATCCAGCTCCCTGCTAAGGCAACCAGGAAGGCAGCAGAAGACGAGCCCAGTACTTGGGCCCCTGCCACCCAGGTGGGAGACCCAGATGGAGTCTGGCCTGGTCCAGCCCCAGCCATCACAGCCATCTGGGGAGTGAACCAGTGGATGGCAGATGTCTCTGTAACTTTCAAATAAATAAATAAAATATTTAAAAAATAAAAACCTCATGGCACCTGGCAGCATTTGGCACAATGGTTAAGATGCTGCCTGGGACACCCACAGCCCATGTCAGAGGGCCTGGGTTTGAGTCCTGGCTCTGTTTCTAATTCCACCACCACCACTTGAGTAGGTTCCTGCACACTTGGGAGGACATTGGAGAGTGAGAGCATCGAGGCCAAGCCAGATCTGGAGAGAACCAGAGTCGCAGCACAGTCGACGGCCTGTGCGAGGGAGCTGCAGTTCTGCTAAGCCGGGGACAGCACGGATCCAGAGCCAACCAAAGTCTCCCAGCCCGCACCTCTGAGAGCCAGCTTCTTCAGTGCAGACATGAGACTGAAAAGAATGCTCGGCAGAAGCAAATGCAAATTGACACAAGTGAAGGAAAACTGCTGAGACGCTTAGTTAGCTGGCATCAGCAGCAGGTGCAGAACTCGCCAGGGCACACTCACTTTATACTGGGGCTTGGGTAGCTTGGGCTCAATATGAAAACACAGCAGGGCCAGCGGGCCAGGGCTTCATTACGTACTCTCCATTCTCACGTTTGTGTCACTGGCATTCATGCAGTCTTATTTCCATAAAAAACCTTGTGAGATCTGTAGCAAGTAACACTCCCCAAAATCGTTTCAGTAGCACTGAGGCAAGAAGCCGACCCCGGGGAACGGGTCCACACCAGGAGCAACCCTGGCCCAGGCACCCCACTGCGGGATCCTCACCCTCTGCCTGCATGCCTCATGGCGACAGCAAACAGGCCACCACTACCCGTAAGAAGGCTGGCAGTGTCCCCGAGCTGCCTTCCTTCTCACGTAAAAAGTAAGTGAAGTTCAGATGCTGACTTCACTTATCAAGGTAAGAAGTGCTCCAACGTTAAAGACTCCACTCCAGTTGCTTCCATCCAGAATCTATTAGAAAAACACACAGTGAGAGCCTTGAAAAGTCCCGCACGGATGTTTCCACTTTCTTGATTAATTACAGACCCTGCACATATCTTTTTTGCTTATGTAACTTCTGATGCACTCCAAAAAAAAAAAGCAAAACAAAACTCAATACCAGTGGTGGGAAGAATAATAAATCAAGACATGATTGCTTGGAATCACCCGGTGCCTCTCAGAGAAGCTACAAAAGTGCCATTCCAAAACACAGCGCCGCTGGGCACGTCTGAGAACACAACGGATTTCCCACTTTCAACATGCCATCTTTCTATCCAGACAGAAAACATCTCCTTCGCGAGAAAGCCAGACAATGTGACCCCACCTCCTAACCACGGTTCAGACACGACCAGATATAACACCAGCAAGGCGGGCACGGGGACTTACAGTTGAAGATGCCGGGAGGTGGATGCTCAGTCACCAGGAGACAGTTTTCTTCATCACTGTTGTCCCCACAGTCGTTCTGTTGGTTACAGACCAGCGAACCAAGATACAAGCATTTACCGCTGGTGCAGGTGAATTTGCACTCTGAAAAAACATGAGAAGTACGAGGCAGTCAGTGCAAGCCAGCAGGGTGCTCTTGAGTTGTTCCTGTCGGTTTGACGCCCTCCCCCCACCCCCCATTTGTGTGCCATGATGGTCTGGGGCCTCGGGGACTCACCTTGGCTAACGCTCTCCTTTGGGTGAAGTGCACAGGGGCGCTCTGAGCCCCAGCCTGACCTGCACCATGAGCAACTCAGCTGCCCTCTCTTCCCATGACCTGCTCGGGACAGGCATGGCCGCGGGGCTCTGTCATTGGGCTTGAGGACATCCTTGGCAGTTCCCCGCCCCCAGCACCCCCAATGCTAGGGAGTGCCTGTGCCTGTGCAGCAGTGGCAGGGCCTCTGGCTGGACTCAGGCGTCCGGCTTGGCTAAAGGGGGCTCATCAACCTGATTTCCAGCTTCCACTGTCTTGTGGTGACTCTGGGCAAAACTCTGCATTCACCTCACGCCCAAGAAAACCCAGGTGCAGCGCCAAGCAAGGGTAGGCACTGACTCTATAATGCATCACACAGTGTCCTCCACCACCTAACAGCCGTGCCAAGCATCACGATGGTGAATCAGACACAGAAGGGGGCCCACATCCAGTGCCTATAGCCACATAGAACACAAATCAACATCTGAACACAGGATTCCCTTTGGAAGGACTTTGAACTCGCAAATTAACATCCTCTCAATGGAAGCAAGTGAAAAGAAAGGGAATCGCACGATTCTATGTACTACATGGATGCAGGAGCATCTGTTATGGTGAACACCACCTTGCATTCTTTCTTCCAGGAATTGGAAGGGTCCACACAGCACGTCCCACTCAGTACTAGACGGAGCCTCAGGGAGAATCTCAGGTACCCACCCCATCCTTCCCCCATCCCTTCCCTGATGAGCACAGCTCTCCGGCCCTGCATGGAGGGCCCTTTCAACTCCAGAGTTCCACTCTTCAACTCAAAGCCCAGGCATCGGCACACTGAGGCCTCCTCTAGCCGTGCGATCCACGCATGGGGCTGCCCTGGACAAGCCTGCTCATTCCTGAGGGGCTGCCGGCAGCCCACAAGGAGAATAAAGTGTTGTAAAGAGAACTTGAGCCCTCAAGGGAGTTCTGTGGACACGTGTGAGGGGTACTGCACCACTCAACAGTTCACATTCTCCCAAGAGAGTACAGAAAAAGAAAGCAGCAGGAACTGCCTTAGAACACCTTGGGATGCAGCCTGGAGGCACACCCATGACCTCGGGCGGCTGCACCATCCCGGGATGGAAATCTATATGCTGGGTGTGACCTGGCCCCGGGGGAGCGGCACCACTGCAGCCAAACCCGCCTGTCCCCCGAGGTGGCAAGGCTAAACTCCAGCTCTTTGAAATCACATTTAGGAAGAGATATTTTAATGGGAGGGGAAGGATGTCAAGGAAAGAATTTATCTTCCTTTCCAGAAGAAATACTAGGCTTCTGATTAACACCAAACACTAACAAGATGTCAGCCCAAACCAGGTGCTCCTGGTGTTATTGGAATGATGATGGAACGAAAGGGAATACTACCCCGCGTTGAGTCCAGCTCTAACTGGAAAACCAACCACTGCTACGGTCTGCGAAGATCTAAGGTTGGGCGGCCACATTCAAGCTCGTGTGGATCTTCACACCAGCGGAAATGAAACCACATCCAAACTGCACTCATGTCAGCTTGCTCAAGGGAGACAGATCTAGCATAACAACCTATTTTCCAGCAGATGAGTTATGGGATTCATTCATTCACAACAACCAGCACTGTGGCCCCTTCTATCTCATGTGGTGCTGGGACAGAAGTAGTAGTGAGTGAGGTGCTAGGCCTCCGCACAGAACTCACAACACAAAGACTCTAGCCATACTAACGCATCTGCTGGCTCCTTCCAAGGCCACACATGTCCTTTCTGTATGTCCTTCACAGCCAGACAGCCACCCAGCCCCCAACAGGCACCCAGTGAACACCACGTTTGCTGAATGAATGAATAATGTAAGCTGAGCCTCCTAAGAACCCTGTGAAAAAGTGAGGGGGTGATGTTATTCCCCTGTGACCCCCATTCCAACGTGCTGCCTCAGTTTCCAAATCTGTTCTCATGAATGTGTGAGACTCAAACATGTCCACAGTGCATGACCAAATTCTCAGACAGGCTTATCTCCTAAGTAGGCTTAACATGACTCAGGAAACGCTGACCTGCCCAGAGAGTTCTTTCTCCTTACAGAGTGAGACTACCCACCTCAATTCATGAAATTTCAAATTTGTAAAATCTACATCTCTTCAACGGGGAGTCACTAGCCTGACATCAAACTGAAGGTCTGTCCATCACACAGCCACTCAAATCAAATTGATTGGATTGAAAATTTGAATTCACTGGTTTCTTGATGTGATATGGAAAATCACCCTTATGCTACTTAGTGTTAAAAGTTCATGCCTAGCTGCAATGAACCTGCAGACCAGAATAAAACATCTGTCCAAGTTACCAAGACTGGTGCTGACAGAGGCAGATTTCCAAGTTGATTCTGAGTTATCCAAAAGCCCAGTGCTTTGGATCATCTAATAAGTAGATTGTTGTGTATTTCAAACAGATTCATAATCCCAGAAGAAAGGCTCTCACCTCAGATTGCACCTGGGAATCAGCTGGGCGTCTTCACCACTGCTGCTGCCGGAGCCCCAGCCCAGGCTGCCGAGCGCTCACAGCCCGAGTGGCAGCCCGGCCACTGGGGCTCCTCACAATGGTTCTGCCAGGCAGCCAACTTGGACAACCACAGCCTTCTGAGAAGTAGATCATTCACTTAGATGGAGCCCTCTCACTACCTACCAGCTTTTTTGGAAGGTTTAGTTGATATTTTCTAATTTGTAAAAAAGACGGAGGGCCAGCATTGTGGCATAGTGGGTGTAGCTGCTGCTTGTGACACCAGCATCCCATATCAGAGAGTCGGTTTGAGTCCTGCCTGCTCCTCTTCAGGCCCAGCTTCCTGCTGATGTGGCTGGGAAGGCAGTGGATGTTGCCCAAGTGCTTTGGCCCCTGCCACCCATGGGGGAGACACAGATGGAGTTCCTGGCTCCAGGCTTCAGCCTGGCCCAGCCCTGGAAGATACAGCCATTTGGGGAGTGAGCCAGCTCATGAAAGATCTCTCTCTCTCTCTCTCTGTCTCTCACTCTGCCTTTCAACTAAATAAATAAGCAAATCTTAAAAAAAAAAAAAAAAAAGAAGAAGACTAAAAACATAACCTGTAAAAACAAACAGGTTTTTTTTTATTTTTTATTTTTTATTACAAACAGGTATTATTTAACTCCTGGATATAGGGCCTAGTCATTACAACTCTGTTATATCACTAAACTATGTCAGAAACTTTTCCAAAGCAGTTTTGACCACTAATCAACATTTTGTCCATAAAACCAGGAACCTGGCTTCAATAGAGTAAAACTGAAGTCAGTGAAAGAAGATAGAAGAATAAAGAAAATATGTTCTCTTCAGTGAGTGGAAGACCTCTCTCTCTGTCTCTACCTCTCTCTGTAACTCTGTCTTTCAAATAAATAAAATAAATCTTTTAAAAAAAAAGAAAATATGTTCTCTTACAACATTTTCTCCATTATATTTGTTTTGTTTTTATGGAACTTGTTAAATATTTTTGCCAAGCCAGAAATTGAGGGAAATCAAGGACTGGTCAACATTAGAAACGTTTTGGTGACATGAATTCTGGTGATTTCAGATGTTTAATACTGGAATGCAGTACAGAAGGAATGACACAGGGGCCAGAATTTCCTTTGGGAGCCATGGACTTATTAAAACCACTTGTAATATTTAAGTAATTCATCTTCTTGAGACTTTTTAAATGAAGAAAATGGCATTGCTTTCTGCCACAATTCCCTACTTGATTTATTAGAAAAAACTGCCGGACTCAATAACAAGTTTTAGAACCCCTGTATATGCTTCTAGGAAAAGAAATCTCTCCAAATCTGGAGTCTTTTTCAGCTTCTCTACATTTCCACCAAAGCTTCTGAGGAATCATTTGGAGCTTTGAAACTCTCTTAGATTCACAAAGCTTTCACACTGAGAGGGACCTACTGGTGCACTGGACCAGCCGCTCATCTCACAGTCCAGGACACGGTCCAGTGGGGAATCCTGATCCGTCCAAAGTCAGAGGACAAATCCCCTGTGTGGACAGAAAACCCAACATCTCTATCCAATTGAGAGAAAAAGTCCTTTTTGTCTGAACATCATTCTAACGAGGCACAGACTAATACCACGTAGCTGGGGTCTACCACACGAGAGACAAGAAGGAAAAAGAACGATTAGGAGTAAGAGAATGCCGCAGTGTTTTGTTAACCTTTGGGAAAAAAATAATTTTAAAAGCCCAGGAACCAGGAAATAAATGGAATATCCTAGGGCTTTCTGTGAATTCCAAACTTATATACAAAAAGCTATACTTTTTTTTTTAAATTAAGGACCAGTAGCTTAACAATTTGAATGTTTTAAATCTAAACTTGGATGAAATTCTAAGATAAATGCTCAGTCTTGAATTCCAGAAGAATAAATCTGCCTCACAGAGGCTAAATTTAATCCACTTGGTAGAGTCAACATTCTATTAGTTAAAAGGCAACACAAAGTTGTTCTCGATTTTTCCTACACTCTGCTAAAGCCTTAGTTTTCACAGATATGATCTCAGTCACAAAATAAGGACCTATATACAGCATTCCATCTCAGCTGTAAAATCAGCCTTTCTTGTGAATTGGCAAAGTAGTCTACGTTAGTTATTTCTGTTAAAATTCATATAGCAACACTGACTCATTTAGTTCACACTTCTATCATTCACAAACCTGAAAACTGAGAGTGATTCTGGCTCCATCATTTCTGACATTAAAATCTAGAACTTGCTCTCAGCAATGGGGCCTTCTCAATGTGCTTCTGTTGAGATTAGCCAGAGGTTGAACTTAGCCGTTAGTGTTGGTAAAGAACTAACAGGCTTTTAAAAGTAGGATAAATCATTCTATCAAAAT